AAAAATGCAGAAAGTGTCTTCTGAATAAAGTAGAACCAATTTTATAAATTTATCGGTTAACAAACAACAATTGCCCCTTTTATAGAAAATCTTATTCCTTTGTTCTTCACATGTTTACAAAAAATTTTAAAAAAAAATAATATTTTAAATTTAAAAGGATAGTTTAGGCATAAATGTGAACTTACAAATAAAGGTATAGATGGACAAAGTCCAAAAAAAGTCCTATATATCCAATTTTCCTTTTTTTTTACGGGTTAGATCTTAACTTGTTTTTTGAGTTTATATAAAAAAATAATTATGTATTAGATTTTTAACATGTAGATTATATCCACAATTTAACATTTTGTATCATTTGAATTTAAATTATACTCCCTCTGTTTCAAAATATAAGTTGTTTTAGCAAAAAACATGGATATTAAGAAATTACTTTTCAACTAAAAAATATTATTTAATATATCTACTAAAAATAATTTGACCAATCACACAAAAGACTGCAAAATACTAATGGTCACACAATATTCAATAAAGTTAAAAGTACCTAGTATTGTCAAAACAACTTACATTTTGAAACAAAAATAAAACTCTAAAACAACTTGTATATTGATACGGAGGGAGTAATTATTATTATAAATTATAAAACAAAACTTACTTTTTAACTTGCCTCGAAGTTCGTTCTGAAAGTCTTCGCAACCATAAGACATTACTCGAAAAATCAATGAGCAGTCTTCAAGATAAAGAAACATCTCATACCAAGAGACTAAAATATGCATTTTTAATTTGCGACAAAGAATACAAAATGAACAAGGAAAGGTCAAGAAAGTAAAGCAAAAAAAAAAGTACCCATCAACAAAAAATATATTTAAAAAAAAAAAAAATTGTTACAAAACTGCAATCAAAAGTGTCGAACTCAGTACCTAATCGGTTTATTCCACTGCACTATTATTGATTTTTACAAAATTATGCCCTATATTTAAATTTATCGTATATGGCCTCGATTGATATAGTTTTTTGATGCGCAGTAGCATAATGCAGCATTAACAGTAAGCAGCTGGAGCATTATACCCTGATTACTATACACATTTAACTGATTGGTAGAATTGTAAATTATTAGATATAAAATTAATATAAATTATTTTATTTTACTCATTTATATGTATTCTAATACATTATATATATTAGTCATAAGTTATAACATTAATTTTTATTTTTTTAATTAAATTATTATTTTATTGTGTAATACTATTTAAAAAATAATATGACAAATAAACTAATGGTATATATTAAGTTTTTATTTTAATATAAATATAAATATATTTATGAATTATAAATTTTAATATTTAAGTTATATTTTATTAAAATTTATATAAAAAATAATAGAACATATAAAAAATGATAAATATTAATATATATATGTTTTATAATTACAGAAATTATGTATATTTACTTTATTGAAATGATTGTATATATTATATTTATAAGTTATAACATAAATTTCTTTTAAATTTTTTTGAATTTAAATTATATTTAATTGAATTAGCATTATATTATAATATTATCTTAATATAATAGAATAAGTAAAACAATGATAAATATGAATTTAAATAATTAAATATAATTTGTTTTTGTTGTAATATAAATTAAATTGGTTAGTTATATAATTATATTTTTAATTTTTGTAAAAATATTTAGAAGAAATGTAAGAACTTAGGTTTGAAAAAATGTAAGAACTTAGGTTTCTTTTGTGTTTGATTGTTATTATGTGGATTGTCTACGTTTTAAAGTTTGTATATACATATTATGGCAACAAAGATGCAAGGAAGGAAGAGTGTGGCTGCGGGAGAAATAGATGGCAACAGCCGCCGGAGGAGTTATCCTCTGTGCGAGATTCCACCATGAGAAACCTAACAAGAAAAAAAGAAGAATTGAGGAGGATCATGATCATGATTGTGATTGTGCTTCCACCTCAAAGAAAAGGCGAGTGGTGTTGGATGAGAAGTTTTACATAACTTTTATCGCCGATGTGGAACACCTTCGCCTTGGCGGTGAATCACATGTATACATACATTACAGTTATATTTAATAAGGTTTACCATTTCTGATATATCCTCTCCCTTGATATATGTATATTTAAATAATGGAATTTCATGCATATGCTGTCCGAACTACACTTTTAGAATTTATGAATGTTGACGGCATCTCTCGAGAAAACGTACCCATCCATTTCCATAAAAAGTTTCGTCCTATACCACCACGTGTCTTGATCCATATTCAATCACTAAAGTCGATTTCAAATAATTTGATTTTGAATTCAGAATATCCATATGCATATTAGTTCTTGGGACATATAGCTGCACCATGGGTATTGATTTAGAATTGATAACACTAACGTCTTATCCAACAATTTATGGCAAGGGATGATTATACCATTATCAACAAACTGATGGTATTAAAATCAAATTATATGGTATAAAGCAACATCTTTCTACAAAA